CAAGAAAACTAAAAATAATGCCTATATCAATTATTTAACGGTGTTAAAAATGTAATTGACCTATAAATAAAAAAAATTTTTTTTATTAATTCTCCACATTCGACTGTCAAAACAACAGATTTTAACAGATAATCTAACACACAAGAAAATAAACACATCAGCTGATAGTTTTAAATTATTCTTTTAATTTTTTTTGCTCTTGTTATTGTTAATAAAATAGATGTATTCCACATAATCCTACTGTTGATTAAACAATTAAATTTATTTGTCAAATACTCTGTAAGAAATTGTCTGTCACTGTACACAACAGTGAAGTAAACAATTCTGCCCAAAACTTTTCACCCTTTCGCAGCTTTCCATAAAAATTCTTATTATAGAAGCAGTAGCAATGAGTTAGAAAAACAAATTGTTTCAGAAACAAAAATGCTCAAATACAATAAAAGTCTATAAATTCTAAAAAAGCAATGTTTCAGCTGGTCAGTAATTCCAGAAACTAAGCTAAACTAAACTAAATTTAACGTCGAATTTTTTTTGCACCAAATATTTTTATTACATTGACTACGGCTACGAAAGGGTAAACCTGAAGATGAAAGCTTTTAAATCTCTGTCTCTTTATTCTTCTAAAGTAACTACCTATATCGATTTGGTACTGTGCCGTAAAAATGTCACAGAAAAGAAGGAATAAGAAAGAAAGAATTCTACAATGTTTACTGTTAAGATGGTTTTTGCCGAGCCAAGAAATGCAACTACCCTTGGTCAATGACTGTTTGTAGAGGAAGTGCTGTTGCCAACTGCAAATGTATTTTTTGCCATTTCTGAGTGCGGTTAAAGTTTAGCAGTTCGGAAATCACGCTAAAGTACATGCTGACAAAAACAAGAAACGAAAAGGCAAAAATAAAAGTAAAAGTTTCCACCTTTTGCAAATCTATTTTAATGATTTTAAATTTACAAGTTGCTAGTTGAGAAATAGTGTAATAAAAAGTGAAAAAAAAAAAACAAAATCCTTACATAAAAAGTAAATTCAAAAAGCAAAGCAAATTGCTGATTTTAAACAAGAAAAAAGTTCTGCAAGATGTTCCCATAAATTCTAACAGTTTTTTCACACTCACATCTCTCAAACAACACGTACCAAAGAAAGCTGCATTTGTGCAACAATAAAATAAAGCTAAAATGGCACTTGCTAGTCAAACATTTGTCAAAGCTGAGCAAAAATGTAGAAAATAATGAAAATTTCAGCATTTTCTCACTAACTTAGTGTCATCAGACTTCTGCTTGTTTACTATCAAGTATTCACCGCAACACGCAGGAGAGACATTTAATATGCAGTTTCTTGCCACCCAAGTTATTTTCGCATCATAAAGAGCTATAAAGTACAAAAGTTGTACCTAGCTGACAAAAATGCCTATAGCCTATGAGAACGTAAACTGTAAGTGATGATATCAACCTTGGTTAATGACAAGCAGTCTACTTACAAAAAATCTTTTGACTGCACCGCTATGCCATCTTTCGCGATCGACGTGAATGCTAGAAGGACTATGTTCGTGCGCAGTGATCGGCGATTGGCACCATCGAAGTAGCTGAAACATGTATGTTAACCGAAGCCGATCAGCTCAATCAGATCGACAGGAAAAGAAGCCATTGTATAGCGGTGAGTTCTGGTGATTGCCGGCTGGGTAACTGTAGCTTTATCTATCTCAATTTCTTTGATTTTGGTCCTTTCTATTATTTTGTTAATTTTATTGTACTTGTTACTCTGTATTGTAAACTAATAATTTCGTTTAAATGTTATGTCATTTCTTTGTAATGAAGGTTTAATCACCCAAGTCTGAGATGTACTCATGTTCTTACGCATCCCACGTTCGTTACAATGATACAACTTATGAACAGATACATAAAAGTTTTTTCCTTTTTTTTTTTTTTTTTTTTTTTTTTTTTT